GGCCTCCTCCCCAAGTTCCAAAGCCTCCTCACCAAGATGCCCAAGATCGCGGAGCGGGGGTGGGGGGCGCTCCGGGCACCCAACCACTCCACCCCAGAGGACTGCCCAAGCAACAGAAGGCTGGCATTTGATAAGTTTTGAAGTATAGTGTGGCTTAGTCCTTCCCTCCTCCACCACCCCTCCTGGTGCCTCCCTCCTCCCCCACCCCTCCCGGGCTACTGTGGCAGTTATCCCCCTATTTGTGTGATGAATTAATAAAGGATATATGATTGTGAAACAACAATGAATTTATTGCCTCTGCACGTGGTGATCAAAGAGGGGAGGGCGGTTGGCTTACAGGGAAGTAGAGTGAACCAAGGGGGCGGGTTTTCATCAGGGAGAAACAAACAGAACTTTCACACTGTAGACTGGCCAGTCATAAAACTGGTTTTCAAAGCTTCTCTGATGCGCAGCATGCCCTGCTGTGGTCTTCTAATCACCCTGGTGTTTGGCTGCATGTAATCAGCAGCCAGGCGATTTGCCTAAACCTCCCACCCCGCCATAGATGTCTCCCCTTTACTCTCACAGATATTGTGGAGCACACAGCAAGCAGTAATAACAATAGGAATATTAGTTTCGCTGAGGTCTAACCAAGTCAGTAGACTGCGCCAGCATGCTTTTAAACGTCCAAATGCACATTCTACCACCATTCTCCACCTGCTCAGCCTATAGTTGAACAGCTCCTGACTTCTGTCCAGGCTGCCTGTGTATGGCTTCATGAGCCATGGCATTAAGGGGTAGGCTGGGTCCCCAAGGATAACTATAGGCATTTCAACATCCCCAACAGTTATTTTCTGGTCTGGGAAGTAAGTCCCTTCCTGCAGCTGTTGAAACAGGCCAGAGTTCCTGAAGATGCGAGCTTCATGTACCTTTCCCAGCCATCCTACGTTGATGTTGGTGAAACGTCCCTTGTGATCCACCAGTGCTTGCAGCACCATTGAAAAAGTATCCCTTTCGGTTTATGTACTTGCTGCCAAGGTGGTCTGGTCCCAAGATAGGGATATGGGTTCCGTCTATCGCCCCACCACAGTTAGGTAATCCCATTGAAGCAAAGCCATGCACTATGACCTGCACATTTCCCAGAGTCACTACCCTTGATAGCAGCAGCTCAGTGACTACGTTGGCTACTTGGACCACAGCAGCCCCCACAGTAGATTTGCCTACTCCAAATTGATTCCTGACTGACCGGTAGCTGTCTGGCATTGCAAGCTTCCAGAGGGCTATTGCCACTCACTTGTGAACTGTATGAGCTGCTCTCAGCTTGGTATTCTTGTGCTTCAGGGCAGGGGAAAACAAGTCACAAAATTCCATGAAAGTGCCCTTATGCAAGCAAAAGTTTCGCAACCACTGGGAATCATCCCAGATCTGCAACACTATGTGGTCCCACCAGTCTGTGCTTGTTTCTCAGGCCCAGAATCAGCGTTCCATGGCATGAGCTTGCCCCATTGCCCATTTGGATGTCCAAATTGCCAGGGGCTGTACTTTGAGAGAAGTCCGTGTCCATGTTCTCATCAGTCTCGTCACCGCGCTGCCGTCGCCTCCTTGCCTGTTTTTGCAGGTTCTGGTTCTGCACATACTGCAGGATAATGTGCGAGCTGTTTACAAGGTTCATACAGCTGCGGTGATCTGAGCGGGATCCATGCTTGCCGTGGTATGGCGTCTGCAGGAGAGCAGAGTTGCAGCGGAAGCAGTGGCTGACGATGGATGCCACGACAATAGATATTGATAGAGAACGACGAGAGGACCTGTGAGGTGGATTCATGAGAGCAGGAGAGTCGCAGTGGAAGCGGTGGATGACGACGGTTAGCACAGCGCACATTTCCCGAGGAAGAACACACGTACCCAGGAACCCATGACAGACAACGTGGAGAAATTTTCTATTGAGTCAATAGCAGCAGAACAGAGTTGCAATGGAAGCAGTGGATGATGATGGATAGCAGTCCTACTGCACCATCTGCTGAAAGCAGTATGGCATCCACACGGAAAAAGGAGCAAAACGATTGTCTGCCGTTGCTTTCACGGAAGGAGGGGTGACTGGCGACATGTACCCAAAACCACCCGCGACATGGTTTTTGCCACATCAGGTATTGGGAGCTTAACCCAGAATTCCAATGGGCAGCAGAGACTGCGAGAACTGTGGGATAGCTACCTACAGTGCACCACTCCGTAAGTCATTTTTAGAAATGAGTGAAATGGTGAGGCCCCACCACATACTTCTCTCTCATGTACTCCCCTCACCAAGCAGAAGACTCAGGTGCCTCCTATGCTTCTTCCTGAACCTCAGCTAGCTCCCTACACAAAGCCAGTTTATGTAGGCCATGTGTGGTCGCGCAGGGATGAATTTTACTTGTGCAATAAAATAGAGATATTTACTGGTGTCCCTTTATGGATTTTAATTAAAAGAGAAATGGTAGACAACATAAATGAAATCAGCACCCTCCCATGTATGAAATCACATATATTTGGGGGCCATTCACTCTTACAGGGGCATGAGCATTCTTTTAAGGGCCAGGTAACAAAAAACAGCTTTAAATCACATAGAAACAAGTTGTTTGATTTTATTTTGGAGAATGTGAAAAATTTTGAAAATGTAATTTAATATAATCCCTGGACACTTATGAAAGTTGCTAAACTTTCAACAACTCTTCATCAGCCCCTTCTATCTGAAATTAGGCTCCTCCAAACCCTAGGATTCTCTCCTCATTTCAGGCACCACATACTTCTCTCTCATGTACTCCCCTCAATATGACAATGGTGACTCTGTTGCTTCCCTCACCTCATTAAGTGTCTTTGAATAATACTCTCAAAGGAACTAATCAGAATTCTCCCTAAAACCCTTGGCAGTAAAGTCTCAGAAAATAAAAATTCCCATATCCTTCTTCACAAATAAAAATGTTCTTTGTGGTTGATCCCTTGTCTTCTCTGTCTCTCTTAGGTGATGGTTAGGAAGAGGAAGCCATCTTCTGCCTCCTTCCCCCTAAGGAAGGGGACGCAGCATCCACCTTTCCTATCACCACTCAAGAACAGAACATCTCTATGCTCTGATTATGCTGCTGAAAAAGCAGGCACATGGCTGGTAAGCCAGCCCCAATAATGAGCTGCATGGCCCATTATTGCCACTGCCCAACACCACCACCAGAGAGCCAGTGCTGAGCAGCCAATTGGAGCTCAGCTCTTTTTTCTTCCTCTAGTCTGAAGCCAGGCTAAGTGAGCTGACCATCATCATGTATTTCTATTTACTTGAATTTTTAAAAATACCTATAGATGCCCATCTGTGGTGAAGCAGAGAACCCTTCCACCAGGACGGAATGGGTTAAGGAAAGCCTTAGGGCCCAGATAGCCCCGCCCTGTTATACCAGCAAACAATGCCAGGCCTGGGAGAGAAAAAGAGGGAGCCTGGCTCAGTTTGGTATTGACTGGCAAAGATACAGGAGCTATCTGCCATCCTACTTGAGGGAATGATCACTAGCCTGAAAAAATAACAAAACCAGCTTCTGACAGACCAAGCAGAGGAGCAAATTCTTACATAAAGGAGCTCTCAAGGCCATAGATGTTGCAGATGTTTTCAAAGGGAGAGTATTTCTACCTATGTCAAGGAGGAACGGAAATGTACTTGTGACAGTCAATGTCCTAGTCTGGGCACATAGAAGACACAGCCTTTTCACTTTAGTGCTTCTAGTCAATGGAGGACCTGATGACTCTAGAAGCACCACAGAATGTAACATTGTACAAGGTACTGTACAACATTAGCATTTGAAAAAAAAAGTGTGAATCACATTTGGAAAAAAACGTGAACCCTTTTCCTTTTGTTACAAACAGTCCACTTTTGTCATTCTAATCAAGTAAAATGTTCTGCTTGTGAAAACTGAATGCATTTGCTGTGATTGAGGTACATTAACAATCTGATTTTTCCCCCTTCAGCTAAGAGATAACTGAGTACAGTGAATTATCAAAAGCTATTCATTACACTGAATATAATGTTCTCCTTGAGAAAGAGCTTAGTTCCAAGATGCTAACTGAAGAACTGAACATGAGAAATAAAATGGGGGGGAAGGGGGAATTTGTTGGTGATAAGCCCTGTAATAATATAAAGGAGCTGCTGTTCCCCGTCAATTTTTCTTTTAAATGAGGATAGTCATATTTGTTCCTTTTTCTCTAGGATAGAATTAGCAAACAGCTACAACAAACCACCTAAAGAAGAAGACAGCTTAAACTGTCTCATCTGAAGTACCAATCAAAACATTTCTAAAATCATGCCTCCAATTCCATAAACTAGGGTGACCAGACAGCAAATGTGAAAAATCAGGACCGGGGGTAGGGGGTAATAGGAGCCTATATAAGAAAAAGACCCAAAAATCGGGACTGTCCCTATAAAATCGGGACATCTGGTCACCCTACCATAAACACATATACACCTAACTTTATGCACATAAATAAAGTTATGGGACTACACATGTGCATAAGCATCTACAGCAGGGATCGGCAACCTTTCAGAAGTGGTGTGCCGAGTCTTCATTTATTCACTCTAATTTAAGGTTTCGCATGCCAGTAATACATTTTAACATTTTTAGAAGTCTCTTTCTATAAGTCTATAATATATAACTAAACTATTGTTGTATGTAAAGTAAATACGTTTTTAAAAATGTTTAAGAAACTTCATTTAAAATTAAATTAAAATGCAGAGCCCCCTGGACTGGTGGTCAGGACCCGGGTAGTGTGAGTGCCACTGAAAATCAGCTCACGTGGTGTGCCATAGGTTGCCAAGCCCTGATCTACAATATTGTGCCCAATATCATTAAATCCCTACTACATATTTTCTGGTTGCTGGTATACTGTATATGGAAAATAATACACCTCACATTCTTGATCCTTAAAACTGGACGTTACATAATTTTTAAAAATTAGAGAGTTTTTTGCAATGAGATTTTCAGGAGTCATTAACTATAAAAGCAAAACCTCACCTTCCTCCAGGACTGCTGCTGCTATCCTCACTATCCCATTGTTCATTTTTACTTCTTGGTACTGGAGGTTGCAACATCTCCGCAGCCAATGGATCAGCATCATTCTCCTCGCGACCAACCCATTCTCCAATCACACGAGGTCTTAGAAGAGGAGCATTAAAACCTGTTGTGTCCTGAATAGAAACAAAAGCAAAAAAAACCCCAAAACAACTCTACACTGCTCCTTCTCAGTGATGTTTATAAACTGGAAACAGGGAACAAACAAAAACTTACTGCTTCACCTCATGTATTGATTTTTTTATTAGAATAATACAGGAGATTAAAAGGTCAAAAGCCTGATCCAATGCCCACGGAAATCGGTGGAAAGACTCTCATTAATTTCAGTGTACATTGGATTTAGGCCCTAACTCCAGAGAGGTTTTGACCAGCCTTGTACTCAGAACTGGAGCTGAGGAAATAAAATATTTTTTGGCTCAGCTGCTGAGCCTATAAAACAAAACAAATCTTTTCAGGTTGAACAAAATGTTTTGTTCCACCTGTGAGAATTTTTCTGTTTATTTGTTTTTTAGTTTCATTTTGGTTTTGGGTGTTTCTTTTACCCTTTTTAAAGAATAAATAATTCTAGCTAACTTTAAAAATAAAATGTCATTTCAAAACAAAGTTAAAATGCTGTACTTTAAAATGTTGATATGAAATGTTTCAATTTTTTTAAAAAAGAATTCTCTTTTGGCCATAATTACTCCCCAAAGTTATGAATAGTTTTGGGCTACCCAAAACTGCATTTTTCAGCAGCTAATTATTTGTCTGAAAAATTTCATCCAGCTTCACTCAGAACCTCTCTTCATTTTTCCCTTTAAAATCCAATAGTTTTGAACAGGAGTGGCAGGTGTCCATCACTACTGATTTGGCTTTAAAACTATACATTCTTAATAAACCCCCTCCTATTGGAAGCACCACTGTTTCAATTATGTTAAGCAATGAATGAGGTCACTTGAATATTGAAGAACACGGCGAAGATGGTATATTTCGCTTTAATATCATCTCTCTTTTGCATTATGAATTCAGTGTGAAAATCTTACTGAGCATGGAAATTAACTGAATATTTTAAAATAATGTGCCGGTTTTTTGTGTTCCATATTTTCAAATCCACAATTAAAATATTTTTTTTATTTGGCTGACATTCAGTGCATTGCAATAGGCAATAAATAATGTATATCGTGTATTACCACTGTGATAAACTACAATTTCAAAGCTAGAAGTCATATTTTTTTGACAATTTGCTTGAAGATATATGGTGGAATAACTAGTACAAGACAAAAAAAATAACTGGGCATTTTAAAAACTTTACTGATGTTTCACAGCATCACACAGAAACAAATGGCTCATATGATTACGTAAAGAGTTTGTATAAAAGTACTGCAAAAGCCTTTCCCATTTTCTCGGTGTTTGTCCTTATGTATACAGTGGGAGTTGATGCGGAATAGCGATAATTTGAAGAAAATCATTATGCTCCAGAATTGCCATTTTGAAATGATGTGATGGAGATAGTTATCCTGCACTCATTGAATGCCGTTTCTAGGACAGCAACGAAACTTAAAATGCAGTGCTCCTAATTAAGATATATTATATATTCTGATCTGTAATGAAAGACAGTCATTTTAGGAAGACAAATCCTTATGGCCCTTATTTGGCTCTGCATCCCATGAAATAATCCTACTGTAAGAACAACACAGTTCTAATAAATGGCATCTGGAGAAGCAGCAGCAGGATGATTATTTAGATTCACAATCATATGTTTTTGTCCTCCTCAACAACAAATGATCTTTAAAGGAACACTAAATAATTGGGATGACTAGTTTAAATTATAGTAAATGCAAAGTTTGAAATATTAGCAGTTATTCATAATATAAACCACCAAAGTGTTCATAGTGTTTGAAATCTGTAAATAATGTCTATCCAATTAACATAAGGAAGCCAAATGTAGGAGTTAAAAGACAAAACTTGAAATTGAAAAGATTTCAAATTCCAGATCCTATATTCCTTGATCAATTTTGTGTGTCTGTGTGAGCATGCAAGCGTTTTGTTCACATAACAGGTGTCTAACTCTGCACCAGTCTAGGGTTTTCCTTACGTAGGAGGAAATCCTCAGCTACCTGTTCAGGGCTGTTTTAGGGCCACTTGGAGTGGCACAGAAGACCTTAGAAAGAGCCAGAATCTTACCCTGTATGGGAAGGGATGTTTTTGAATTATATCTATATATCCAGCCTGCAGTTGGCTTCCATCCATTCCACCCATCAACTTCCCCAATGCAGAGTCAGCTGTAAAATCTGGGTCTTAATCTCTTTTGCTCTTTAGCTATTATTATTTGTATTACCATAACACCTCACCACATTCCCTCACTCCACCTTTTACCCTATACTTCTGTAAAATGTATGTTTGCCACTGTCTTTTTCATGTCAGTTTAATTCTGCCCAGAGTTTCCCTATAGGCCCACTGAAATCATTGTTTAGGTGGTGACATTTTACTGCAAGGTTGAGATGACATTGTAGCAATACTGAAAACTATCTTAAAATTGAAAAGCTAGTAGTTGAAAAGGGAGATAATTGTATGGGGAAAACAAAGTGATTTAGCACATTTTAGGATCGCTGCCATTTTTGTTGTGTGGTACTCTTAAATTTTTCAGAAATTTGTGGAAAATGGTTTTTTGCTGTAGGAATTGTGTTGTAAAGCAGTCAGGTAGCATAACAGTCACCACAGGAATCAGGGGACAGTGGTCCCTGTCACTTGACAGATGTAATCCTGACCCATGTCATGTGACTAGAGGGAGGAAATAAAGATTAGTATTTTTCTAGTACTACTGTGTGTCATGCCGTTATTACAGATAATGTTCCAATTAGAGTTTCTGAAAGTGTGTAAAGGCCTCATGGCCTCTCTTACCCCTCGGAAGTGCTTGCTAACAGTTCCAACTGCTCTTAGCCAAAGGAGAGAGAGTGAAAGAGAGGGGTAATTTATAATTAGCTAACAAATTGGTTTTATCTGCTGCCTTATATTTTGCTGAAAAATGTGGATTACCATAAGGAAAAATTGAAAAGACCCTTAAAAATCCACACTTTTTTCAGACTCAACTTTCTCCTGTCCCTACCTGCAATATACATTGTGCATTTTGCATATGACTATTTAGCACATGAATGCTGTTTTCCCTTTTTATGCTGACTTCCATTCAAACAGTTGGAGGTCCTGAGCCATCTTATATCACAGCATTTTCAAGCTCAATTTAATAAATAAGTTTAGCAAATCACGTTATACCTTGCTTCCATTTTAAAACTGAGTTAGATCAACACATCAAAATGTCAGTGACCTAATTTATTTCTTTCCTTTCAATCTTACAGCCCCTCACAGTAAGAGTAGTAAACAAGAAGTCAGAGAAGATTGTATTGAGAAAACTGTGGCATTATTTGGAGTGTTCCTTCAAAATGATTGAGTAAATTAAGATACAATATTTAATTTACAGTCAGGTTTTCACCTGCATCTCCCATTTAAACCTTGAAATGCTAGCCTGACGAGTACCTTAAAGGACAAACAGGATACAGAATAGTGTGTCCTGGAGTTTCCAGAGGATAAGTAGGAATTTAAGAGAGTCAGTCTGTAATCTTAGCCATATGCATGTATCTTCCCATAAGGTTGGGGAGGAGGAGAGGGAATTGTGTCCAATTTGATTATTTAAAGTCATTGCTCGAATCCCGTCAGAATGCTCCAGGACACTGTTCTGGCACTTTTTTGGGGAGCCAGAACAGCAACTCAGCTTTTCTAGTACTTGTGTTCTGCCACTTCTCGAGTGCAGCACTCACCCGTTGTTTAAAGTTGAGATTTGTTCTCCTCTATAGATTATAGTTTAATGGATCCTGTATTTATGGGTGCAGTATATTTGTATTTACAGGATTAGAAAATGAAAAAAGTATCTTTGAGATAGCACAGATAAAAAATAGTCTTAGAAAAAAACCCTAATTGAATGTTTTAATATTAGGCTGGGGGGTAGGGTGTCAAAACTTATGTACTGGGCCACCTTCACCCCTGTGTAACCCGAATCACTGACTCTTTGGTATTCTCCAATTACTAACTGTTACTGCTAAAAGTGAGTGAAACAAAGGAATTGGTATGCACTGTTGCCAAATCTCACAATGTTATTGAAATCTCACTTTATCTGGAGTTTTATGTAAAGCCCCAATCCCTGGAGGCTTCTGATTCAGAATGTTAGCTTTATTTTTAAAAAACAGCCCTTACATTTCTGAAGAAAAGGTTGGAAATGCCAAAAAAGGTCAAAAAACAAAAGGCAAATAAAACTCCCCAATATATTATTGTATATTAATATATTATTGTTCAAAAATCTCATGACTTCTGAATCTCTCGTGATTTTGGGGTCTTACTCATTACGTTTTGAAAACATTGGGTTAGCAATACGACTATTACATCTCATATGCATAAAACTGCATTTGAAATTAGACATTTTCATTGTAAACATATCAGACCAATATCAAGTCTCTAGATTGTAAATGTACTTGGCCACGTTATTCTCTGATGCAAGCTAAAACAAGGCACTTGAATTGCCTCTGGAATACAAGGACAGGCAGAGGGGCCCCATGCTGGTAGCAAGTATACTGGAAGGCGGTTGCAACTGCAACCCTGCAATTCGTATTCCATAAAGCTGAGGATCTGGAGCTAGCAGTGCACTCCCGAAGTGGAAGGTTCTGCCCCAGGAGAGGATGAAGCAAAATACTAACAGCTGATTCAACTCATTCTTCTGGGCAACCAGCAGGACATTCTCAGAGTCCGGGCTGCATTTCAAGCTACTCTTTCCTAGTGGAACCTAGTGATATCAGTGGTTCAAATACCATCTGCCCTTTCTAAAATGTAAATAGCACCCAGAATGCAGAAGCCCTCACTGGAGGAGCCAGAGAACCAATGCATGAACTAATCATACTTCCAGGAACCCTTTTGGGCAGTGCTGGCCCTAGCCTTTGCAACGCTGTCTGTGAAATAACATGAACGGAGATGTGCAATTAGTGTTTGTCTATTACCCACCCATTGCCTATAATTACCCATTACCCCACTATTATTAAAATTGCTATTTAACCTGAGTGTCTCACACATTTAAGATGTAGCTATGAATAAATATTGAAAATATTTTCAAATAATTTAATTACCTTTAGTAAACATATCCAGGGCTACACATTTCAGGAAAGGATGCAACTTGATTTTAAATAACTAATTAAAAGAACAGTTTTCTAATACAGCACTCTTTAAATAGTGTATCTTGAATTCTAAAAATGCTTTAAAACTGAGTGAGTTTTTTATGTTCCCCTGTTATATTGAGCAGGGTCCTTTGTGGAATCCTAAGACTATGATAGCCAACATGCTCAGGCTCATCCCTCCTCCTGTGAAGTTGTGTTTACTGCTTCTTTATGAAAATTAAACCAGGCAGGAGAGGTTTTATAGTGCTGCAGAGACATAGAGCAGCTTTAGGGATAATACTGTTTTATGTTTAATACTGTTACTGTACAATGTTAGAGGGTGACTCCTGTAGTTCAAAGGTCAGACTAGATGATCATAATGGTCCCTTTTGGCCTTAAATCTATTGATCTGTGAATCACAACACCTCTCCTTCAGTTTCTTTCTGTGCACACTCTGCCTGCTGCCTCTTTGCTTTCAGTGTCAGCTTTGCTCCTGCTCTTACTGGGGAAAAAAAAAAACTTCTTGCAGGGGCTAGAAAAGGGTTTATCTCACCAACAAAACAGTAAAACTAACTATACACAAAGTAATTACACTGAATAAAGAGGAAAGATATGTAAATTAATCTGTTTTAATTATAGTAATTTTAGGAATTTGCGACAAGGTGAGTGAGGTCATATCTTTTATTGGAACAACTTCTGTTAGTGAGAGAGACAAACTTTGGTGACCTGAAGAGCTCTGTGTAGCTCAAAAGCTTGTCTCTCTCTCGCCAAACAGAAGTTAGTCCAACAAAAGATATTACTTTACCCACCTTGTCTCTCTAATATCCTGGGACCAGCACAGTTACAACTACATTGCATAAAAAAAAATTAATGTAATTTTCAAAGTGATGGTTTCTCTTTATTTTTTTCCACTTTACATATTTTACTCAGAAACATATGATAAAGCAGATGCAATAATGTAAAGATGTGAAACAGTTTGCATGATTGAAAAGTAGACAAGGATTAAAACAGAATTTCAGAATGTTCTAAATAAGCAGTTAAGTACAGTAACAAATTAACTCCATTTTTGCTGAAATTTATTTAACAAATCAGTATCTCAGTAATGTCACCAATACATTGCTTCCCATTAAATGGTGATTTTCACACTGAAACATAACATTTCAAAATATTGCATGTTTTGAGGCAAAAAGAGGTCTTCATCAAGATGAAATATAAGTTTCTTTAGATACTTCCTCAAAAATAAAAAAAAGTGTGTGGAATAATGAATTCTCTTTCACTCAAAATGCTTCTGTTCTTCAACAAAAAAAGTGACATTTCACAGGTTTATGACAGCCAAAACAATTATGACTGGTTCACCCATTTCAATACAAACTATTCACATTGTCAGGGTTCTAATAGCAGGTCTTTTGTTTTTACATTTAACAACTACTGCTGGACACAGTTCTAGATATGTGTAAAAAGTAAGAGTAAAGGTCCAAGTCCTGAAATGCTTATAAGCACATGCTTAACGTAATTAACAGGATTACTTGAGTTTAGAATGCATGTTACCATTAAAAAGATCAGTGCCAAAACACACAAAAGGTGTGAGTAAACACCATCATTTGTAGATAGCAGCCCAATATCCCACATGACTCCTTGGCAATATCCATCATGCTTCGCTGAAACCCCTGTCTTGGAAAAGTCTCTCCATCACTTTAAGTGGCCAGAATTGAGGAGCTCATCTTATACTGCAGGCAACTGTGAACTTAGTTTTCATGTTGTTTTTCTGGCATGTGCATACCTAATCAGATTTGGGGCCAAAGAATACTCCTAAAGATTTTCACAAACAGTATAATTAACTTAAATTTTATAGGAGCTACCCAAAAATATGACCTCAAATCAAAAATACTTATACTTCTCGGAAATATTTAGCTTTAGATATCCTATTAAATTATCGCTGTAGACCAAATTAAGCAAAATAAGATGTACAGCTCAATAGCTTTTATGTGGCCTGAGCTAAACCCCATTAAAGTCAATGGGAGACTTTCCGCTGATGCCAGTGGACTTTCGATCAGGTCCATAACATATATGAGCCCTGTCAATGGCCCTTAGGTACCCAACTCCCCACTGAAATAAATAAGAGTTAAGCATACGTGCAAGGACTGCAAAATTGAACTCTCACTGCCTAAAACTACATAAAAATCTGCCTGTTTGCACTATTCATTAGGTACACAATATCTCTTACCTTCTCAAGTTCATCAGAAATAGCAATGCCTGAAAACAAAGCAGATTTTAAAAAGCAATTTGAGAAACATTCTTTGTGGAAATGTATTTTGTTACAGTAAGTAAAACAAATTTTAATCTTGAAACTTGCATAATTCTCTTCTTGCAAATGCAGTCTGTTATATTATGTTCCATTAGTGAACTTGACCAAAAGCAATGTACTATAATTTTCTTCAGGTGCAATATAATCAAACTGAGCTTTCAAACAATTATGAAACTCTGGAAATTTGTAAAAAGAAAAGGAGTACTTGTGGCACCTTAGAGACTAACAAATTTATTTGCTCAAATAAATTTGTTAGTCTCTAAGGTGCCACAAGTACTCCTTTTCTTTCTGGAAATTTGTGGCTGTGATAATGGACTGGCGAAAAGCTAAAATTTGCTTCTATTTGCTTTCTAAAATTAAAAAAGCAATTTAATATTTCTAGTCTGAGCACATTATGATTCAAATCCTGCTTTGACCAACAAACATCCACACAGCATATGCATTGTATCTGCCTGCCATCAAAAGGCAACATAAGCCTGACTCTGCTCTACTTTGCACTTGCAGGAATAACTCCATGAAAGTCAATGGAATTAAACCTGTTAGAAGAGAATTAAGTCCAGTGTCTTGCAGGGAAGATCACGCTACTAGATAGGGCAGCTCTTCCAAATTCTGAGGAAGTACAACATGGCACCTAATATTCTGATGACTTACACTTTCGGCTGATAGCAACAAGTTGCCTGCTTGAGGCTTCACTATGGCCCATTTATATCATATCTGTGTGCATATGGTGTAGGCTGCAGTGTGTTAGACGTGCATAGCTGCCAGTACAACCCCATGTGCTATGAAAAGGATGCTGCTCATCCTGCCTCACTATGTCATATGCAACACCATCCTGCACCCTTTTCTCCTGGCATTCCACTGAACCCGTAGAGTGATTTTGCTCTAAACCTCAGCCAAAACTTTTGGGGGATGGATCACTTGATGATTACCTGTTCTGTTCATTCTATCTGGGACACCTGGCATTGGCTGCTGTTGGAAGATAGGATACTGGGCTAGATGGACCTTTGGTCTGACCCAGTAGGGCCATTCTTATGTTCTTATGACTGTCATCTAAGACTTATAAAGTGATCCTGCTCTCCAGTATAGGACAGCTCATTTTATAAGCTATGCATTATACATCTAGGAGCAGATTTGAGAGCTAAAATTGTTCTTTATCTTTGTAAATTTACCCTGGGGTTAGCTCAGTCTAAACTTATTTCCAATAATACTGCACAGTTAACAGCATGTTATTTTTATACCATAGGTGTATGATTTTTTACTTTATTGATAAATTTTCAAATATACCAACATGTTGCTACTTTTCATTTTAGATGACTTACTTTTACTGATTTGTTTTTAAAACATAGTGAAATACAAACAGAACTATAATTAACATTTTAGGACCTGATCAATACATGTTAATGGAACATTTTTTCAGTCATTCAGTGTTTACAAATTAAATTCAACAAAATGCACTTTGTCTACCCCCACAGCAATTAATCTGTTTTCAATACCTTAAGGCTTTTATTTAGTACATAACTACACTACTGTCCATATAGTATGTGGAGCAGGAACTTGTCCCAGTTCGAGTAACATATGCCATGAAATCCATTGTTCCTCCCTTCACTCTCACCCCCGAGTTGTGTGGGTGTATGCAAGTGAAACCAGCTGCCCAGAAGTAAAGAGTGAAAATGAAATGTAGCTGTCTCTTCACCATGCACAGCTCTGTAAACCTAAGTAAGGATTTCCAAAACCCAGCTCTCCATAGCATTTGATTTTTTCTGGAAAACTAAAGCTAATCCAGATATTATGATCTATCCATTCAGACACTCTACATCTTCTCAGCAACTTTCAATGATTTTTTAAACCAGTTTTTTTGCCCTGTGAGCAGTCCCCTATTCTCCTGCTCCACATGTCCAGTCACTAATGTTGGGTCTCTTGAGCCAGAAAGCAACGCAGATGGACTTCTTTTCATTGTCGAAAGCAATCACAAAAGAAGCAGAATCATTACGAAGCCCAGGATGACTCTATGACTAGGAGGCAGTGCTGGTGCTAGCCTATTTGGGGCCATAAACAGGAATATTGTTGCACCCTGACAACACATACTAACAACTAACAGGGGGCCCCCTTGAGCTGTGTGGGGCCCTAAGCAATTGCTTAATCTGCTTATGCCTAGCACCGAGGAGGGTAAAGTAAACAAGAAGCAGAAGGGCTCCATACCTGCCTAAGAAGGGGTTACATTCTGCCTGAGGAGAGGTTATGTTGCAAGACCCTAGGGAAGAGCTCATTCTTAAGCAGGAAAAGAAGAGACCATGGCAGGAGTATAAGGAAGGAGGAGCCACATGGAAGTCAACATAACTTGGCTCCTGTCCAATGTCCTAGAATCCTGAAGATAACAATATACACCAACGTTAGGATTCAAAGGGTTAATGGCAAGAGCATTTCTCCATCCAGATTTACTTCTTAAGGAATTTTCCTTGAGTTTAAATTCAGGGAACTAGAAATGACAAATGTGAAAATGATAACATACCCTGATGTTCCCATTATGCCAAAAGGAAATCATTCTATACTACAAATGGTCAGGTTTTCTGTTTGCAGGATTCCTTCCCACAGGATACCTACTGATTTATTATTTCATTATAAATATGCTTATAGGCCCTAATCAGGGATGAAGGTCCCATGGTACCACGCCCTGAACATTAAGCAGGAAAAGTTACACATGTACCATAGCTGATGATATCATAAGATATAAACACAGAACAAAAAAAGCAGAATTTTAGGGATTCATATATTTGTAATCACAGGGCCAGATCCTGAAGTCCTGTCTCATACCTACATCACTCCCTCCCTATGGCAATACAGGAAAACAAGAGAGGGATTTCAATGAGGACTTCTTCACAGAGATCCTCCCACATAGCTTTTTTCATGCATCTTCAAAAGGGGCAATGTGGACAACCCTCAAAGCAGGCAGATCCCCCAGGATCCAAAGGATTCCAGGGCCATCTGAACTGATGCTGGGCCCCAGTGACTTCTTCTAACTCCCTAATAGCAGAGCTTGATTGAAGTGTTGCTAGCAGAGACTTCCGGTGGCTATGGGTGCTCCCTGGACAGGGTGAATCATAACCACCAAACAACTGTATCTGAGTTACCACAGTTACTTCCTTAACTGTTGGCAAATACTGACTTTTTGTTGTTAAAGCAGGTTATTTTCAAAGTAATTTATTTATTTGAAAATGACACAGTCAATTTAAAAACCACACTTCTGTTCATAACGTTTACTCACTATTGTTGCAATTAAGTCATAAAATTCTGAAAACTGATAAAATTAGAGCAAAAAACATCACTCCATTTTCATTACCTTGTGCATTTGACACCATTTTCCTTGTACAGCCTATCAAATTCCATTGTTTGTGTGAATTTTTTTTTAATACAGCACAGGGGAGAGAACACACATTTTAAAAAATAGAAAAATATGACTGTAAAACAAAAGATTGTCAAGTAGACAAAGGGATAAACCTGGTATATGAAACTATTTTAAATTCATTTATTGTAACTGGTTACATTTCAAGTTGATGGTGTCAGTTTAAAACAGAATTATTTGTAAATATGAAATCTAAACACATACTGTTAAGCTGAAATCAAACGATTATCACTTAATTCTGGTCTTTCAGACTCTGGCCTCTGAATACAATTTAATTTAATATAATATAATCTAAAAACTAACAGAATTTTATGTTAAAGATTCTGAAATATCTTGTCTTCTGACATGGTACAATGCCAGATGTTTCAAAGGGAATGAACAGAACATGGCAATTAACAAGTGATCCATCCAGGGTCGTCCAGCCCCAGCTTCTGGCAGTCGGAGGTTTAATGATACCTGGACCATGGAATTGCATCCCTGGCCATCTTGGCTAATAGCCATTGATAGACCTATATTCCATGAATTAATCTAATTCTTTTTGGAACCCTCTTCTACCTTTACCTTTTGGGACCATTGAATTAAAAATACAATTGTGTATGTGTTATTGTGAACTGTATGTAACTTCTTTAGGAGACTGACTAATGCAACACCTGGAAAGTATTAGGAACTCCAAAGCCCTTTTGGGGACAATACATGTGAAGTGTATATCCTAGAAAGTACTTGGAAGGAAGGAAATGCAAATCCAAAGGCATATTCAAAGGTGTCTCACAGGTATTTGTTGCATTCCTTCCCACTCCCAGTTGAGCCCTGTGTATGCTGTAGAGGGGCTAGCAATGTGCCTGTGTGTAACAGGGTGAACTTACCCCAACCCTTTCCTATGCAGTGTGGGGTAAGTGGGCTGAGACAGCCCCATCCCCATGCCCCTACTGGTTATGCCCCATATGCAGTACCAGTATAAGAGTGAGCAGCTCAGCTAAGTGGGGGCTCACTACCAGAGAGGAAGGATGTCCGCTGCAGGCTCCAGCCTCAGAGTCGTCGCAGCCCCCGACTACAGAAGCCAGAGGCGCTGAGACCCTGGCAGACTGCTGCACTGGGCAGCACAGCATGGGGAGGAGGTGACCAGCCCTCTCTGAATAAAGAAGTGGTTCGGGACTATTTAGAAAAGCTGGATGAGCACAAGTCCATTGGACCAGATGCGCTGCATCCGAGAGTGCTAAAGGAGTTGGCAGATGTGATTGCAGAGCCATTGGCCATTATCTTTGAAAACTCATGGCGATTGGGGGAGGTCCCGGATGACTGGAAAAAGGCTAATGTAGTGCCCATCTTTAAAAAAGGGAAGAAGGAGGATCCTGGGAACTACAGGCCTGTCAGCCTCACCTCAGTCCCTGGAAAAATCATGGAGCAGGTCCTCAAGGAATCAATTCTGAAGCACTTAGAGGAGAGGAAAGTGATCAGGAACAGTCAGCATGGATTCACCAAGGGCAAGTCATGCCTGACTCATCTAATTGCCTTCTACGATGAGATAACTGGCTCTCTGGATGAGGGGAA